TAATAATAATAATAATAATAATAGCTTTCAATGCTTACCCAACCGTCATGACTTCTCCAGAGTTTTTGTCCGTCACAAAATTGTTAGCTATTGTCATGATGACTGGCTGTATAGTCTGTTGAAAAGAAGAAGAAATTATGCTGAAGACTTAGTATGGGGGATTCCCCAGCCTCCTTCTTTAAAAAGCCTTTAATTACCTCAGGATGTGCTGGCACAACAAATTCTGAATTACACAGAACATTTTGGTAAGACCAGGGGCTTAAATTAAGAGAAACAACTGGGCAAAAGATTGGCCCAAAGTCATCCAGCTGGCTTTCATGCCTACAGTGGGACTAGAACTCACCTTTTCCTGGTTTTTACGCCAGCATCTTTTTTAAAAAAATATGTTTTTATTGTTTACATATAAATATATTGAATACAGTGCAATTGTCCTGGCATTCCACTTGCCATGAAACAAAAGTAAAAACAAAACAACATATAAGGTAAAGGTTCCCCTCGCACATACGTGCTAGTTGTTCCCGACTCTAGGGGGCGGTGCTCATCTCCGTTTCAAAGCCGAAGAGCCAGCGCCGTCCGAAGACATCTCCGTGGCCATGTGGCCGGCATGACTAAATGCCGAAGGCGCATGGAACGCTGTTACCTTCCCACCAAAGGTGGTCCCTATTTTTCTACTTGCATTTTTTACATGCTTTCGAACGGCTAGGTTGGCAGAAGCTGGGACAAATAACGGGAGCTCACTCTGTTACGCGGCACTAGGGATTCGAACTGCCGACCTTCTGATTGACAAGCTCAGCGTCTTAGCCACTGAGCCACAGTGTCCCTACAAATAACATATGCACTATTTTAAACATTGCTGGTGTTGTACAGTAATTTCTGCCCATCATATTCTAGTGAATCAACTATCATTCTAACACCTACATAATGTCTCTTTCCATGTCCACCATGTCGCATTCCCACTTCTATCTCGTTTCTAACCATTGATAGAAACTATCCCATGTAGCATAGTATTCTGTATCTCCTTTATCTTTTATTTTTAGCGTTAGTCTGTCCATTTCCGCTAAGACTAGTATCTTCCTTATCGTCTCCTCCTCTGAAGGGGTGTTTTCACTCTTCCATTGCTGCACATACTCAATTCTTGCTGTGGTCAGGCTGTGCAATATTAGGTATATTGTCCCTTTATCATAGCCATCTTAATATAATACCTAGTAAAAATAATTCTGGCTTAAACTATATATGTTGTCCTGTCATTTTTGCTAACCACATATGATGCATTTGTATCCAAAATTTCCTTGCCTTTATACAGGTCCACTCCATGTGGTAATATGTGCCAGGTACTTGTTTACATTTCCAACAGCTTGGGGACATATTGCTACCCTGTTTCCCCGAAAATATGACCTCCCCGGATAATAAGCTGTTCTGACCCCCCCCCCTCGTCCCACACCAACGCACGCCGAGCCAAAGATACTTTAAGGAATTTATTAAAAGACAGACAGGTCCTTGGCAGCAAACCAGCCTGCCAAGCTAGCCACAAAAGTTCTCCAACATTAGTTAATGCGTTGACTCCTGCAAAAGGAGTGTGTGCACAAGCATTCCTTTTATAGTCTNAGGTTTTCCCAGTCCCCTGGTGATGTACCAAAAAAGGGATGTATTTTTTGTCCTGACTGCCTACATATAAAGGAAAATAGGAACTCCCGAAGGAGGAAATAGCTTTCATAGGTCCTCATTCACCCTGGTTTAATTATTGGCTTGCACTTTGGGACTCAGAAAAAGAAGAGAGGAAAGTTCACATTGCTGTTAGACTTGCTTACCAGGAGATGAATCAATAGCAGAAATTACTTTAGCTCCAGTGAAACTCCCAAAGAGAAAGTCATTTGAAGCTGTCCACTTAGTGTAATTAATATGATTATTCTGCCTGCTGATTATATCATCTTTTCTCAATCTTTTCTAGCCACAGTTCCCATAAGTTCCAACCACATGCTTCCAGATGTGCTAGTCTACCACATCAAAAAGGTTCCAAGAGGCAGAAAAATGAGTTAATCTTTAAAATATGATCTAATGATTCTTCCAAACATAGGTAGATATTCTCCAAGATGAGAATATCTTTTCTCAGTCTTTTCTTTCTCATGTTCATGCCTCCTTTCCTTCATCCCTCCTCTGGTTGCTTCCAGAAGATCAGGACAGGGACAAGATGCAAGGGAAATCAGTGATAATCCCCTTTATTCAATTTCTTTCCCCTTTGGGTCAATCACTCTTCCATGAACAAAAGAAGTACTTCCATTTATGGAAAGGCAATTTGCATTCTGAACTACAGAACTTTCAATTCCCAAAAAATTAATTAGGTCCTCAGCACTAGTTGAATAATGTTTCTTCCCAGACCCAAATTGTATATTTATAAGAAAACAATATTGCATTTTACAACACTGAACCAAGCGTCAAGGTCTTATTGAGTTTGTGATGAAACAAATCTGTCTGATGACAACAACTCTTAAAATTAATCTATTTTAACAGAAGGCAATTGAGATTTAGGGAAGCAATTATAAATGCAGAATTCAGCAAAGCTTAACTGAACAATATCTGAAAGATTTAGAATAATATATAGTGGGGGAAATTATCAGGACTTAATTTTAAAACTGACTAATATAAAACAGTATATATAGCAAGCACACTTTAATTCATCAGAACATACTATTGTATTAGCTTAATTATATAGAGCAATGCTGGTCTGTCACTGCAATAAAAATTGATTGAATAATATAGAGCACTGGTTCTCCAGGTGCAGGCTGGGGACTGATGGTGGGGATCTCCAAGATGCTTTCAGGGAATCCACAAAGCCAAATGTTTTTTTTTTATTTCTTAGTTTTAAATTTGATATAGTAAATGTTGACAGATATAACCCACATAAACCAAAACTCTGCAGCCCTCCAAAATTTTAAAGAATGTAAAATGGTGCTGTGTCCAAATGTTTGAGAATCGCTGATACAGAGTACACCTGCAAACAGGCTTGGGACACATCCAAACGTAATTGGATAATGAGATTTCTCAATCAATACAGAATTTTATTTATAAAGGGAAATACTCCAGAACATTATGAGAACTGCAAAAAGGAAGTTGTTTACATACATACAAAAATGACCTATGACAGATCCAGTATGCTTAAAATGTGTTAATATGCTGTGTATAAAATGAGTAATCATAGAGGGAGAACTTATGTACATTCTGTGTCACATCAGGTAAATCAGAACAAGAAAGATAAATAAACACAGCTGCTTTATGAATGGAGAGTTGTACTTTCTCCTAAACCCTCTAAACTAGAGAGAGATATTAAGTAGGATGCCAAAAGAATTTGTCTTAAGTCATCTACTTTTCAATATTCTAATTAATGGTTGGGATGAAAGCATGGGGATAACGCTTATCAAATCAGCATAAAATTACGCAGGATAGATAATACCTTAGAAAACAGAAATAATATTCAAAATAGTCATAATGTAATTATGCAGATACTTGTCCCCATTAAATTAATATCTATTATTTGAAATCCTTTCTCCTATGTATTAATAGAGAAAAGTGCAAAGTTTTTAACTTGGGTGTGTGTGTGTGTAATCCTAGGAAATTTAACTCAAGGAACAAAAAACACAGTTATAGGATGAGGAATACCTGGTTTAGTAATAGTACTTATGAAAATGATCTTGGAAAAGAAGTTGATTACAAACGAAATATAAGTCACCTACAATACATGATGTGGCTACAAAGAGACAACATTTTTAGCTGCATCAACAAAAAAATTTCCAAACCTGGACCTGCTCTATATATCTTCATTCATATCAACCCCTAATCTTCACTCCCCAATAATAGGCTGGGAAAAGCAGGTTCTCCTGGTTCCTATTCAAATTCCATCTATGGATATAGCCAGGCATTCAAAAAGTAATACCAAAATGTATGTAGCAATCTAATTTGTGTATTTTAAATTAGAAATGGATGCCTCTGAATATTCATACTATCATATGTGCACTGCCATATATACATATACTTGGAGACCTGTGCTATATGTTTATATACACACATATACACATTCAGAGACACACAGACAAGATCACCACCCTTACAAGATGCTGGACTATTTTGCTCTAGTGTTTCAATTAACACAAAACCCTGTTCAAATGTTCATAAGCATCTAATCAGCAAATATTTCTGAGGGAGGAGCATCCATGTCCATTGGCTCCACCCACACATGCCTTCTGTCTCCAGGAGACAGACTCCTTCCAAATATAGCAGACTAATCCAATCTGGCCCAATTTTTCCATCCACGTGTAAAACTGTATAATTTTAGACCACTTTTACAAAACATTTTTATCCATCAAATTTGCAGCTATAACTTCTTGTTTCCCAGGAAATTTATTGTACTATCTTTTAACATCTGTTTATGTTTCATTATAGTTTAAAAAAAATGTAAGCCTCTAAGCAACTAACCAAGAGGTTCTTCAGAACCTTCATTTTAAGGCAACCAAAATCAATTTATTGTGAATTTTTAATATTACACTATAAACAAATAGCACAAATAAGCATTTTAAAATATTTAACATGGATTTTTTTTTAAAGTCTCTGTGTATCTATGTCTTGAATTTAACCAGCTAAACTGAGAATCAGGCTACACTTTTTGGCATTTAATTTGTAGTTAGCTGTTGGTATTAAGATTTAATATATAGAAAGCCGTCTATATTATGACACCATAGATAAATTATGACATATATTATACCACTCCTGGATAGCAAGAAAATATTTTTTTCTGGTTATTCTGCAGTGTGGAAGAGGCTATTAATAAAATAAATATGAGTGGCTATCTTTAAATTTACATTATTGGGTTTTTTCCCCATAAAATATAGCAAAAACGGTCATATCAAGGTATCACTGAGCAAAAGATGCCTTTTTGCTGTTGTTGTTCAGTCGCTAAGTTGTGTCCGACTCTTTGTAAACCCATGGGCCATAGCACACCAGAGCGCCCCCCCCCCCGGTTCCTCCTCTGTCTCCTGGAGTTTGCCCAACTGACACCCACTTCTTCGATGACATTATCTAGGCATTTCATCCTCTGCTGTCCCCTTTTCCTTTTGCCTTCCATCTTTCCCAACATCAGGGTCTTTTCCAAGGAGTCCTCTTTTCTCATTTGTTGGCCAAAGTATTTGCGTTTCAGTATCTATTCTTCAAAGGACAATCAGGGTTGATATTTTTCAAGAAAGGAAAATATGCCTATTACGTACATTTAAAAATGAGCAATGTTTCTTACCAATTTTTTTTGTAATTTCAGGCATTGATTCCTTATTGTAAATTGGCAAACCTACTTTTCTATAACTTGGCCGACAATGCTTCATGAATTGTTACTTCATAAACTGTTTTGTGAGCTAAAGAGTTTATCTTGGCATTAATTATTTTCAAGCTCTCTAATGTTCAAAGATAGAGATTTGAAAGATTACATCTACATTCTTTGTTCTGTGTCTGCAGGTAGACCTCAATTCTGTTTTCTGATATAAGAAAGATAATATACCTCTTTTATTTGCTAAAAGGGTTTAAAATGAATAATTTGATTTTTAAAAATCTCAAATGCTTAAATTGCCTACGTTACTCCCTAAGCAAACATAAATCCCTTATAAATTCTTGCAAATTACTTTCTATTCTATTATCCCAATTCTGTTCAAGTTGTTATAGAACTGGTATTTTTATTTCTCTATTTTCAGGTACAACCCCTTCCATCTAAATGCACTTGCAACACATTAAACAAGTAGCAAATAACTTATTAAAAACTTAAAGACACAAACTGAAACCCAGCATAGCCAAGTGAAACAGGGTTTCCACAAGTAAAACAAAAAGCAAAAAACTGAAGATCTTTGCCTGAAAAATGTCCAGTCAAGATGTCTATTGCTTATTGTGTATACTCTTATAGCTTCCTCTTCTCTTACTTTACCCTGCTGCCTCTTGGTACTGCCATTCTGCTTAGCAGAATGATAGCTGCTAATGTAGACCACTAGACAACATAGACATCTGCTAACGTAAGACCATTAGCCAACATAGACCAACACCTGCTGCTCCTGAGCACCCAAACATCATTGTTTAGCACCAGGAAGTAAGAGTTACACACAAACTGATATTTTGTTATGCACTTCCCAAAATAAGATGATAATCTGCAGAAATATAGGAATAATCAGATCTTTTAGTAAAAGAATAGACCTGACCCAGAGTGTTGATTTCATATCTCCAAGTTCAGGCTCATACATTATGTTAGGCTTAATTTGTTGGATTCAAAGAATTTTTAAGTCATAGTTCATGCCTCAAAACACATTGGTGTTGACTGTCTGAACCCAATAAGTCACACAGGACTTAATGGCTTAATGGTTTGATTTCCCTAATTACAGAAAATATATTTAAATCTAGATGATAAACATGCACAATAACTAAAACAAAGTTAATAATATTATTGCAAAAGGCTCCCCAACTATTGAGAAAAAGAAAAAGGCTGCACCCATAAAATATCTGTATTGTGTTACATTCCAATGGGCACGCTTTGAGGGCACACTCTCCCTTCTGCTATCTTGGAAGACACGTTCCAAAACATCTCAGTATTCTACAGACAATGCTTATGTGGCTCAAGTCTGTTAAATCCCCTAGAAGGATGAGGCAGGAGTCATCTGAGGTAAGTTAAACACAACCACTTTATTAACAGGCATTCGCAAGCTATGTACAAGTAGACAGGCACCCCCTCCCTACTTGACAGCTATTTATACGGAGCTGTCAAGCAGGGAGACCAATAGCCGCGCGTTTGACAGCCCGACAACAAGTCGCACCTGATTGGTTCCAGCGCGCCTGGCTGTTGCCGAGCTGTCATTCGTAAGTCTGAGGACTTAGCATCTCTTCCCGCCCCAGCGAGGGCACATGCATCAAAAGTGCGTACTCTTGCAGGTAGGAGGGCAGACAGCGGACACGCCCAGAACACCTCAGTTGAAGAGATGGCGCTGGAGAGGTAAGATGTCCCCATAGTAGCTCCTCCCTGGAGGGAGTGGAGCTCCGTGTGACGTCACTGTGGCCTAGGCCAGGGTGGAGGGGGCGTGGGTTAGGCAGGCCGGTAGGTGGCCAGGGGGTTGGGAAGGCCTGACAACGGAAGGCCTAACTGGGTGGAACGAGGGAGTGCAAGGGCGGATTGAGCTGCAGCGAAGGGGTGCTGAGTCCCAGCGCCCGGGCAGGGGTGGCCTGACTCGGGGAAGGCCAGCGATGGTGAGGCTTGTGGAAACAGCAGCGGATCCGGGGAAGGCTGCAAGACGTCGGCAGCCGGCTTCTGCATGTTGGTTTGACTGGAGGCCCCTGGAGGGTGGCGGCGACTCAGTTGATCCAGGTGGCGCCGCCATTCGCAGCCATCGGGTAGGTGGACCCTGTAGGAAACAGGGCCAGTTACATCGGGGGTCCCCTGCGTAGTTCTGGGCCCATACCAGATCCCCCACGGCAAAGGAATGGGAGGGGTGCCCCAGGTTGCCAGGCTGAATCCCTGAATAGAGGGGGTGAAGCCTATCCAGGGTGGTCCGCAGGCGCCGACCCATCAATAGCTCCGCGGGGTTTTGCCGCGTGAGGGGGCAAGGAGTGGAGTGCTGAGCCATTAGGTAAGCATCCATCCTTGCCTGCCAGTCGCCACAGTCCAAACAGCCCAAAGCCTCCTTGGCTGAGCGGACCGCCCTCTCCGCCCAGCCATTGCTGGCCGGATGGTAAGGGGCGACCGGCACGTGGCGGATCACTTGGGCAGCCAGGAAACCCTGGAAGACTGCGGAAGAGAATTGCGGGCCATTGTCGGACACCACGATGTCCGGCAACCCATGAGTGGCGAACAAGCGCCGCAAAGCCTGCACCGTACTCTCCGCAGTGGTGGAGCGCATCAGCACCAACTCCACCCAGTGAGAGTAGGCATCCACAGCGACCAGGAATAACTGGCCATGAAAGGGACCCGCAAAGTCGAGGTGAAGGCGGGACCAGGGCCCGCAAGGCACCTCCCACTCTCAATAGGAGGCAAAGGGGGGAGCGGGGCGGGACACCTGGCAGGGCTCGCACCTCCCTACCCAGGCCTCAATGTCGTCGTCCAGGCAGGGCTACCAGATGTAACTCCGGGCCAGCGCTTTCATGCGCGCCACCCCAGGGTGGTCTTCATGGAGACGCTGGAGGACCTGGTAGCAGAGGGTGGAAGGGATGACCACCCGGTCACCCCATAGAAGGCAACCGCAGTGGAGTTCGTCTCCAGCTGATGATTCTTAAAAGGGTGGCACTCCAGAGAGACGCCTCCTGTAGGCCAGCCCCTCAGGACCCATGCCATAACCTGGGAGAGGACAGGGTCAGCTTGTGAGTGGGCGGCCACGTCAGTGGCAGAGAGAGGAAGGTCCAACTCGACGATGGAGAGGACCGACAGACATGGGACCGGCTGGGGGTCAGAGCAGGGAAGGGGGCACTGGCTGAGGGCATCAGCATGCCCTAGCTGCTTGCCCGGACAGTATCTCAGTGCGTAGGAATATGCTGCGAGAAACTCCGTCCAACGGGTCATCCTGGGAGACAAGATGGGGGGGTCAGTCTATCACCGGCCAAAAGTCCAAGGAGTGGCTTATGGTCAGTGTAGAGGGTAAAGTGCCAACCATACAAGTAATCGTGGAACTTTTTAACCCTGGGCACCGCAGCCAGAGCCTCCTTGTTGATCTGGCTGTAATTCATCTCGGCTGAGGAAAGTGTTCAGGAGTAAAAAGCAATGGGGGCCTCCGAGCCATTGGGCAGAACATGGCTCAGGGCCGCCCCCCCAAACCCACAGGAGAGGCGTCACAGGCTAACGTCAGGGGCATCTTGTCGTTATACTGCACTAAGACTGCCTCTGATGTCAGCACGGCCTTGACAGCCCCATTGCCAGGCCACAGATTGGTCAAGCAACCGATGCAGCGGCTCGGCTAGTGACGCCTTGTGAGGGAGAAACGGCGTGTAAAAATTTAAAAGGCAGAGGAACGCTTGCAGCTCCGCTTTGGAGGTGGGTGCAGGGGCGTTCTTGATGGCCGCAACTTTAGAACGGGTGGGGTGGATTCCCTGGGCGTGAATCATGAAGCCCAGGAATTCCACCCTAGGCACAGCAAAAGAACACTTGCTGAGCTTTAATTTGAGGCCCGCACCCCTGAAACGGTCGAGGACCTTCCGAAGTACTTCGATGAGCCCTGAGCGGCTGGTTGCAGCGATCAGGACGTCATCGAAGTATGGGACAATGCCAAGGAGCCCATGGAGCAAGTGCTCCATGAGTCTCTGGAAGATTCCCAGGGCAACGGAGACGCCGAATTGAAGGCAGCGACAACAGAAAGCCCCGCGGTGGGTGACGATGGTCTGGGCAGCCGCCGCATTGTCATCCACTGGGAGCTGCTGGTAGGCCTGCACCATATCCAGTTTGGTGAAAGTGCAGCCCTGCCCCAAGGAATGGAGCAGGTGCTGCACGACAAGGACTGGATAGGGGTTTGCCTGGAGGCCAAGGTTGATGGTCGACTTGTAGTTGGCGCATATCCTGATGGACCCGTCGGCCTTCACGGGGATCACTATGGGGGTCTCTCAGCGTGAATGGTCGACGGGCTCCAGGATCCCCTGCGCCAACAACTTATCCAGTTCGGCATCAACCTTAGGCCTGCGGGCCTTCAGCCGGACGGGGGCAACCTGGGGGTCTAGGTTGAGGGAAACAGGGGTCCCCTTATACCTCCCCAGCTCGCCATTAAAGACATCGGCATAGTCCGCCAGGACGGCCACGATGTCAGGGGGCGTGTCCGCCACAGAATTCACCCCAGAAAGGGATAAGCCCAGGGGGGTGAACCAATCCAGGCCCAAGAGAGCCGATAGAGACTTCTGCACCACCAAAACCTGTAGGAAACAGCATCTTCCCCTGCACCCCATGGGTAGGAATATGAGTTCCCTGGTAGTCTCTGAGCACGGCGTCTGGGGGAGACAGCTGCGCTTTTGGGACTCCCGGGCACAGGCAGGTGAAAGTGGCCCATAACAGGAGAGACTGGGAGGATCCCGAGTCCACCTCCATGAGGCAGGGGGACCCCCTCAATGGAGACCGTGACAGTAATTTTCTTGGTACCAGCCGTGGATTGGCTGACCGACACTGCAGGGGTGGCAGGAAGGTCTTCTTCCAGAGCGTAGCAGTCGGCACGGCCGGGT